AAAGAGTGATGGAGACGTGGCCTCATTTGAAATGTAGAAGCCATCACTTAATTATTTAAAATAATATCTCATACTCTTTAGAGTACATCACACCACAGAAAGCGCCAGCAGATTCTCAGCAAACAACAACATTGTGCTACATGCTGGATAAACACAATCTTTTCTCCAAGGAGTTACAAGAGCGCTGAAGTACAGAAAGAGCAGAGAGATCAATAAATTTAATTTAAGCAAATCAGCAGCAGAGTAAGGAACAGCATGGAAACTCAGAGCGTTCTGTCCACTGCCTTTCTAGCCATCCAAGTGATCCCCTTTTAAATTGTTCTTGATGACTTCAAATTGCTGCTCCTGAGTTTATCCACAATAAAATTACAATTACACATCACTGCTTCAGCTACCCTTACACGCCTGTCATGTAGACTAGTAACAGCCCATAAAGTTAATAAGGACACCAGGTGTTAAGTGTTAAGTATTATCATCACTGAACGGGTCCCAGATCATCTAGTCACCTCTCTTGCATCTCTGTTGTATGGACCTACTGCAACCTATTCTTATAAAGTGACTGACTTCCCTCTGCAATGTGTGGTAGGTGCCGCTGAAAGCCTCCAGAAAGAAATACTGTGCTCTGCAGTTTACATGTGAATTGAACTGAAGGCATTTAGTGGCACCTATCATTCAAAGGCTACATCTGTAAAAGCAAGTAGTAGCTCAATAGGAGCAGGTCTGTAGAGTGAAAAAAATGGTGCTGAAGATCCATGTCCACACTATATGCTTTTCTTGAGGGTTTTCTTTGGACTAGCTCTGGTTGGTCCAAAGCAATGACCACTGATGTTCGTTGAAGCACATTAGGTGTGTCCCTGGAGGCCACTTTGCTGTTTAGTTTCATCTGAAAGGAGTTCAGTTTGTCCTGAGACTGCTCTTGTGCTGCAAAGCGGGGATGACAGGGAAGTTCAATTCAAAAGCACGTTCGATCTGCACCAGAATGCCAATGCTGATGCACCTGCAGACATCTCCGTTGTTTAGGTACAGGCCTTCAGCTCTTAGTGTAGGATGATGAGTTCAGTATGTCCTAAATTAGACAGAAAGGAACTTGCTTAACTGTGGCACACAGTGCCACAAAAGTCTTACCTGTGTGCGTCCTCCGGTGAGCCTTCAGGTGGGAACTTTTTGTGTATACTTTGTTGCATCCCTCAAAGTCACACCGATGGATGCGCCGCTTCCTGGAATCTGGAGACTCGGACCTTCTCTGACGCCTTGTGCTCTCAATACTGAATGGTGAAATGGAACTGAAAAACAGAACAGAAGCAAAAAATGAAGCAAGAGCATGGTGTATATCCTGGGCTCCAAAAGATCAGCTGTAGTATATCACTGTGCCAGAAGTGACCTTAACAATTAATTAGATGTAGTCCACAGCATGTATTTGAAACAATTTGTGCTTGAACTGGAGCATATTTTGCAGTATGAAATAATTCAGGTCTTGATTTAGAAGTGCTTATTGCCAGAGAAAACACCACAATCCTTGAAATACTGCTCCAATAACGAAGTAGCCTGACTTCATCTGAGCTTTATTTCTATTTTACACGTGTTCAGATCCAAGCTCACTGAACCCTACTTTCTAAACAACTTTATATATAGCCTCCACAATTTCTCTTTGACAAGTTTAAATAGATAAATATCATGAAACCTTTTATGAAAAAGTGTTTCCAGTACCCAGATCTGGACTATGGATCCTCGCACTTGGCTTGGCCAAACACCTGTTACTTGCTTGCATACAGATTGCTAAGAGATCTGTATCACCCTGCAGCAGCGATTTTTCTGTTTACTTATTTAACAATTCTCAATCTATCACCTGCAAGTCAATGAATTTTATTTCCTTTCAGACCACTGATAAATAAAAAAGTTTATTAGCACAGGACCAGCAAACAATCCCCACAGAAATTCTTATGCTCAGTAAAGATACTCCATTTACAGCAACATCCTAAGGCCTACCAGTTATCCCAATTTTAAGCAAATAAAGAAGTAATGTTGAAGTCACGTTGCTTTATTTTATCAATACAGTATGTACCGAGTCTAATACTTGAAGAAAGCCTGCTACAACAATGCACTTGCCTTGCTTAGATAAACTTGTGTCATAAACTATTATCAAGCTGGTATGCCAAGATCCAAACCCTCATCGACTTCCATTAATCATATTACCCAGCTACAAATCATTATTAATTGATCGCCTTATCAACCCCATTACGGTTATACTGCACAGCAGTCACGTTCACCTACTAGCCTGTTTAGCTCCTTTAAGTACTGGAACAACACTGGCCTTCATCAAGTTTCTGGGGCTTCCCCCACATTCCTGGGTTTATTGACACTGAATGTAAATGATCTAGAGATTCGTCAGCCAGCTCTTTTAAACTCCTAAGATGCAAGTTCCCAGTTCTCTGGAAAGAGATTGTGACTGTCCAATGAAAATGAATCGGAGGAAAAGAAACTTAATCTGATCACGAAAAGAAGTAAGCACGAATCTTTGGGGAAGCTAAGATACTAAGAAAGGCATCTGAAAGAAGCACTGATGTTGATGCATCTGCTGAGAAGCTCCTGTGTCAACACCAATCTTCAACCTTCTGTTACAATAGCCAGTGCTGTTACAGCTATAGCTGTTCTGCCATAAACTTCACTTCTAAAGATTTCCAGAATTTGCTGAGGACTATTTATATTCGGTTAAAACTCTGCATAAAGCATCTCACACCATTAGCATGTGATTTCACTGATGTTCCAATTCACTGCATTACAAATCTTTCAGCCTTGAATTCATGGTAGTTCAAATTACACAGTTTTCTTTTTGTTTAAATATTTTTACAACACAACCCTAATTTAAAGCACTATTTAAAAAAAATGGAGTACTCTCTTTCTGACAGCCCTCTTTTTCTCTTAACACTTGATATATATTCATATTTCACCTTCAGGAAAAGAGATTGTCCAGATTAATTATTTTTGCCTATAATACGATGTGTGTAAACAGGCATGCAGGGAATTTCTGAAATGGAGGAAGAAATGGACAGAGGGCTGTAATATCAACATTAACTAGCAAAAAGTAGTCCCCAAGAGAGAAAGACACATCAGCACTTTAACTATGTGACAGGAATACAGATACATTTAGCTGTCACAGAAAAGGCTTAGGAATTGCATTTAAGCATCTGCATCTCAGGGCAAATAAAAGTCTTGGGTTAGATGATTCATTAAGAATGGTCTCGCTGCTCCAGTTTTTTTTTCAAACATCCCACCAGCTAAAATAAAAAACAAACATGTAAATCAAAGCTTAAAGCTCAATACTGAAGGTACAAAATCCAGTGCTCAAGACCAGAAAATCTTTATCTTTAAAAATAAATATTTGTGCATAATTTTTGCTGCATGTGATTTACGAGCCATCTTAAAAGCCTATTTTGTAACAGGACGTTCAGATCCTGAATAGTACAGCTCGTTTAAATGGGAGGAGGATCAAGCTTACAGTGCTGCTGCAATTTTCAGCCCCGAGACAAAACGAACCTTGAGCAGAGCCAGCACCTCGTAAAAAGCTATTTGTCACGTACGAGAAAGTGACCTCACTGCTGGGAGCTGCTCTGGGCTTTCCTGGGTATTTACACAGGAGATGGTGGCATAAAGTGGTGCCACAAAGGTGGCACACGATCAATGCTTCTGCTTCTTAACTGGATTGCTCCCTCCTTCTAAAAGACGAAGCATCCTACCTATTCCATGCCAGGGAAAAGAATCGAATAAGCCACAGAAAGTGCTTGTGCATTGCCACCGTCCGCCGCGAGCTTCACAGCCATCGCTTGCTCAGCACGCCGAGGAGAAAGGTTACCGTCAGCTGGAACCAGCAAATGTAACCTCATGCCTTCCCTTCACAGCAGCAGTGCAGGCGAAATGACAAACTAGCCAGCAGAAGGGACTCACGTGGCAAGTGAGAGCACACCTCCAAGGCGATCTTCCTCTGCCACTCTAGCCCCCGTGGTGCGGGGGGACCCCACAGAAAAGGAGCCAGATCCTCCCTGATACCACCAGCCTTGTTTTAGCCTTACAAAAGCTGTGTGATTTGTTTAAATGGAGATACCACAGGAAGCCCTAAAAAGAGCATAAGGTGCTTTTTTGAGCTTCCTGAGGTTAGTCCCTATCACAGTTTTGATGATGTTCTTTCCCTTGGCCATGAAGCAGTAAAGGACACCCTCCTCTTTCTCAAGCAATTTCTGCAAAACGCCCTCACCAACCACACAGAGACATAAAAAAGTCCTCAAAACCATATTTTGTGCCTTTTAAAGGCCATAGCGCTTCTGTCAGGTGGCTCTGGCCAGCACAGGGCTCCAGAAACTACTGTTTGATGGCACCAAGGTGGACAAAGACTTTGAGAATGGACCGAACAAGGAACTCACAAGGTATTTATTTTTTTACTGAGTTTTTTCTTTTTGTTTACAATGTGTTTTAAAATCATGTCAAATAAATCAAAAAGCCAAAAATTTTAAAAAAAACCACCATATTTTAGCAGCCTCTCTTGACCGTAAGTGTCCCTCACAGACTGCCCAGAGTGAAGACCTGGAAACACGTCAGCAGCTGAGAGCTGCTGGGGTGCCCAGCCAAGGAGCTGTGAGTTCTCCTGTTATCAGCCAAGATCTCAGGCAGCCTTTAAGGCTCTAGGTGGGGTTTAGCAATAGGACTGATACCACATGGTAACATCCCAGGCAAACTGCAGGATGTATCAAATTACTGCTGATGCATCAAGTCTGAAAGATAAATTTAAAAAGAAGAAAATTGGGTTCTGACCTGTCAGCTTGGCATTTATTTATTTGCAGTTTGTTATTTCTAAAACCAGTGTAATTCCTATATTAGCAGAGAAACTATTACACTAACAGAAATCCTGGGACACTGCTGGTTGCCTCCATAAGCAGCTGCAACACCTGTAGTCAGTACTGCTCATAGGGTGAAACGAACAAAATCAATGTGAGCATTTAGGGCGGTTTACAAAACTTCAGCTCTGTTATTTCCAGCTAGAAGTGAAAACATGCATCTCTGCAACTCGCACAATAGCCAAGTGCTTGCCTCTGATGCAAAAAAGTCTGCAAAGTAAAACAAAGACTGGGGCTTCGCCAGTAGATGGCCATCAAGTTCTGCTGAACGTGGTCTATGCTGCATGCAACAGGGATTATAACAACCCTGGTAATGCAGGATTATTTTTCCTTTCTATGAATGCTGCCTATGACCTCCTTGGTGTTTCACCTCCATTCTACATACAGACTAGGAAAGGCCCTTGGCATATGCAGTAACAAACGTAGTGGGTCTTTTTATACCAATCCTCTGTTTTCTGAGCAATACGCAGAGCAGAGATGCCTGGGGAGCACAGTGTGTTTATTAAATACTTGAACTGTGTTCAGTGCTGTGACACACCAACAACATGCCATGTGGTGACAAGTTGCTGCATGCTGGCTGCTGCCCATGAACAGCCTGCTCACATGCTCTCACCCCGTGGCAAACATGCAGTGTTACCTTTGGCCACCAAAGCACGAGCTTACTGGCACTGCCGGTGTCCCAGCAAGCCAGGCAAGAGCTGGCTGACATGGCCAGCACAGAGCCGGCGACGTGCAGCGAGCTGCCGCTTTGCTCTTTGCTGTACAAACCCAAACAGCATCCCAGTGTTGAATTTTCATCCTTGTGATTGCCTACCTTTACTCTTCCTTGTTCCCTCTACTATGAGCTCAGGCTCTTTGGCTGTGTCTCCTGCCTGCCTCGCAAAAGACCTTCGCTCTCTACACGTACCTGAAAGGAGGTTATAGCGAGGTGGGTGTTGGTCTCTTCTCCCAAGTAGCTAGTGATAGGACAAGAGGAAATGGGCTCAAGCTGCGTCAGGGGAGGTTTAGATTGGATATTAGGAAAAATTTCTTCATGGAAAGAGCAGTCAAGCATTGGAACAGGCTGCCCAGAGAGGTGGTGGAGTCACCATCCCTGGAAGAGTTCAAAAAACGGGTAGACGTGGCACTTTGGGACATGGTTTAGTGGGCATGGGGCTTTTGGGTTGATGATTGGAATGATGGTCTTAGAGGTCCTTTCCAATCTTAATGATTCCTAGTTTTTACTTCATTATAAATGATCCAGCCACCAAGTCAGGAGGTGTGGGGTTGCTACTCTACCCTTAATTGGTTTAGTGGTGGACTTGGTAATGTTAGGTTAATGGTTGGACTGGATGATCTTAAAGGTCTTTTCCAACCTAAACGATTCTATGATTCTATGAAAACACACCAACCCAGGG